GGTTTAGACCCCGGGAGGGGCCCAAGCAGATCTACTTGCCAGACCTTTCCCGCTTGGAACTGCAAAGTGTTGAAAGCCCCAAGTTGATGTTTGGTTCGATGGCATTTCACCTTGGCACATACCTCACAGGCTTGTGCTACCTTTTCCCAATTGCATCGAAATACAAGGTTGTCTCGGTGGTGGCTTGGCGCCAGCGTCGATGGCTGGCCCACGGTCCTGGGTGACCCCAGTTTTCATGGAGCCACATGAGGAATGGGTTTACTTCAGGACCGAAGGGAGAGGTGATAGGCAAAACTGTCGGTCTGGAGTGGGTCTTCTAAGAGCTTATCGATGACCTCATGCACTGGGTCAGTATCCAGACGGTGTGACTTGGTATGTTTAATCAATGGTAGTCGTGTAAATTTAGTTCCAGAAGTCTTCCCACTCACCTAAATTTTCGCTGGGAAGGGCTGTACCGGTAAGAATCTTATAAATGTACTGAGAGTCAATTGCAATAATTGGAACTGGGAGTGTATCATCATGGTGTGCTAAACAGTGTTGTAATACTTCAAACATACAATTCACATTTTTGGGCAGAGGTGTCATTCGGGTGGACCCAGGATATTTTCACATCGTGGCAAGCCTTACAATAATATCCATAGCCTCCACCGTATCGGGAGGTTCCATCTGAAGCCATCCAGGCCGAGGCGGAGGTTCCATATAACATTGGGAGCTTTTCCTCATCCTCCGGGCTAGGACTAGGTTTTGTGTCCTCTAATTTCCAGCAGCACCAGTTGTAGTGGTGGGTAAGCACCAATGTGTTCCATGTCTTAGGTTCCCCCTGAAAATGCGGGTCGACTTTCTCTGCATCTAGTAAGGGCAGCAACGTGGCAACGGGAGCGCGAAGTGTCCCGTGCCCCCTTGCTAATGGCTCTGCTAGCTGTCCAGCTACGAGGATTTTTCCTATAGCTCCATACCGATGTTGTGCTGCTTGAAGAGTCTTATGGGCAGTGTATACCAATTCATCACGAGGGTTGTGCGCAACAGCCCACACGTGGTTCGTGGTGAATCCAAGGGTTATGATCAATAGTTCACCAAGATTGATTGCGTGGAGCTGCGTACTCTTGACAGCAGCTAACAGGCAAAGCAGATTCTGCTGGTCCCCTTCCGTCCAAGGCGTGGATTTTCAGGACTTGTTACAGATCTGTCGCTGTAATTTAGTAAGGAGTGCTAGATGACTAGGGTTAACATAATGCCGATACCAATTTAGGTGACCTAAGAGCTGCTGAAAATGTCTTTTAGTCACGGGCAGGGATTTCTTTAATGGGT